ATGTCCTTGAGAACGGGAAATGTAAAACCATGGCTCAAGTTCTGTTCCTCAGTGGGCCCTCAGTAGGTGTCACTAGGAGTTCATTGCATAAACTAAAGAACTTCAGGTGAACCTTCTCTTGTGCCTTGGTTTTTCCAAATAGCAGAGGCATCTACTTGTGGTGGGAAATGAAAAGTATGAGGGCTCCATTGAAAGTGGCCCTCCTGAAGATAGGGGGCACACATGGGGCGGCCTTGAGGCTCACCTTTAGTGTTCATTCAGAATGGTCCTGCACCAAGTCATTTGGTAGAACTAATTAAAGAGAGAAGGTATTCAGAAATCAGTTTATGCTGGGGGGTGTAGGAGGGTAGAAGTACAGGTAAATGGAAGATGACCTTGCATGCAGGGTAGAGACATGATGGAGATATGGGTGTGCTGTAGCATCCTCCCCGGTTCCCCCGAGCGTGGCTGCTCAGAACACTGACCATTAGGGCCAACAGGACTTAGAGGGTGCTGCCAGTCTTGCTGTTCTACAGCAGCTGAGTGTAATATGTGAAAATGGGGACCTAGAGCAGGACATGTAGCAAGCAAGGGTGTGGGACCGGTGATGGGCAGCATTTATAAGAGGATTCAAGGCTCTAGCAAACCTTTCTATGGGACAGCTCCATCAAAAGGACAGCCTTAAACCCATTATTTAAATGTCATCGCATATGTTGTGATCCTGCGGCATACAGGGAGGATTTCTGGACTTTTAGCTACTAGTGATTTGGGTTTCAGTGAGTTATGTATTGGTGATTGGTAACCTAAACCCTCTGGGGGCTCCAAGGTGAGAGGCTATAGCTGATACGTTTTAGGACACAATCTTATAGAATGAAATCTGCAGAGAATGGTTCGAGTGTAGAAGTTAGAAAATATTTTTTGCCTAAAACTAAGCAAACTACAAAAGACCTGGAATGGAGGCGTGGAATACAAAATTAGGATAATGCTTACAGAACTATATCCCTTTAAATACGTACCATACGGTTTTCATTAGCTGACTTGAGGAAGGGGCATGCTGGGATTTTTTTCCCTGGGAAATACATGTCTGATGGAAAATGATGCTGTTTACCAGGAGTTTGTTTTACTCACAACCTTGAATGAATACATCTGTGGCTTAACGAAAGGCAGACCCTAACTAGTTTCCTACCGGAGGCAGCAGTTGGGTTTATTTCTAAATCCCTCTGGTCTGAGGTTACCTGATGCTGACCAGACTTTCCTTCCCTGAAGGCTCCACAGCTGAGTTAATGCCACCCATCTGTGACCTTGCCCTCTGCGTGATTATATTTCCATTCTCTGTTCTTTTATCATCCTTTTGAGATCGTTCTGGTGATAAACTCAGAGCAATTCAGCATAGTAATTGCATTTGCTTTTTTCACTGTGCACCTCTGGTGGAAGTTAATTTCCTTATTTTAATTCTAAATCTCATCTTCATGGCAAGTTGGGCCAATGGCCTTGGCACTCAAGGTTTGTTTACCAGTTGTGTAGCCATATTTGGCAAATCTGAGCAAGTAGACATGGCTCTTTTCCCCCTTATTTGTTCTTGCTATTGCTCATGCTTTCCTGACTTTGCTTTACACTTTGAGACTACTGCATCTTAGAAGAACTGGGCTGATTGGCAAAATAGGCTTGCCAGTAGCTCAGTCTCTCCCAGAATGCGTTGGTTTTGAGAGTTGGGAAACTCTGAGAACTTAAGGGAACCACACTCAGGAATCCCAAAGTTGGTTGCGTTGTGCCATTGGTTTAGGGGCTGGACATAGGACCAGTCTGTAGCTGAGTGAATTAGATGCATTTGGGTTTGAGTTTGTGTCACGTAATGAAATGTAAGTCAGCCCTAAATAATCAAAACACTTTTTCTTTTTTTTAATAGGAACTTTCTGAAGAAAAGTGATGTGTAAAACATTTGATATTTAAACAATAAAGTTTTTATCATAAGACTCTTGTTTGATCAATTTCTTTTCAGTGGAGATGGTTAATGAATTTGTGTCCCTGTCTCTATCTCCCTGCCCCTTTAAATAACTTCTCCCCAGGCTCTGTGACTTGCCATGTGCCTGAAACCCAGAAGAAATGGGCATCTCCACGCCATTAAAGTAACTTGCAGATAACCACTGGAGGAGGGTGGTTGTCGCTGTTCATAAGGTGTGCGTTGTGGCTCCACATAGGCAGTTGATGCAAAGTAATAGAAACAGCACTGGCGATGGGGTACTGTGGTTCAGGCTCGTCTCCAGAGCCAGGCTGCTTGGGTGTGAACTTCAGCTTTGCTACTTACTAGCTATGTGACTGGGTAAGTTACCTAACCTTTCGGTGCCTCAGTTTCCTCTTCTGTAAAATTGGGACAATTGGAGGTCACGGGGATTAAACAATACATATAAAGTCCTTAGAAAATTACTGGCGCATTGTAAGTGCTCATTAGATATTAACTAGTATCCATTGCATCACGTGAGATTTGAGGATGCTAAGGGTAATTTTCAGAAGTCGGGCAACTCCAGCAGTGATGTGTGGGAAGGGAGGGCTCAATCACTAAGGGCCCTCGGCTACCAGGGTTCTGCCCTTTTCAACAATGTGGCTTCCAAGATGACTTTGGACCTCAGCATGTAGCTGACATACCAGGAAAAGAGAATGAGGGTTCATGGAAGTTTTTATACCAGGCCTGGAAGGGGTGTTCATCACTTCTCTACTGCATTTCACAGGCTGGAACTTTGTCGCATGGCCATGCCACACTGCCAGGGAGGCTGTGAGGTCGTGCCCGAGATGAGTACAGTATGGTGGTCAGCCAGCAGTCCCCTACCTTCACCTCAGGCATGGAGAGCGCCCCACACCCCACCCGAGCATGCCACAGACCTCCATCTAGAATCTTCTGCTTTGCCCTGTTCTCGCTTGTGGCTTTTTAAGGTCTGACAAACAACTGGAGGTACCTTAACTGCTCCTACCCATATACAAGTGTTGGACAGACAGCTGCAGTAGAAATTCATAAAAGTGCTAACTTATCAGCTTATACTGCATCCCTGCTCACAGCTGTTGGTATGGGAATGGGATTAAGCAAATTCATCAATCCTTATCTATGGCTTTTGTCCTTTAAAAACTTAGAGCTAGGGTGGGTTGGTTCCTCCTGGAAAATTCCTAAGGCCAACATCATTTTTCCTGTTCTGCCTCAGGAATCTGAAGTGCCCTGAGCCCCAGATCCTCCACCCCCAACTGCTCCTCTCACCGTCTTCCCCGGAGAAGTAAAGGGCAGCTTCATCCTTCCGGTTGCTCACTCTCAAACCTTGACAACTTACATGCCCTGCATCCAATCTACCCTAAGTCCTGTTGGCTCCACTTCAAAGTCTATTCGAAATCTGATCCTTTCTAGAGCCCTGGTCCCAGGCAGGGGCACCTCTCAGCAGGGTTATTGCAGGAGGCCTCCCTGCTCCTGCCCTTGTCTGCCTGCATTCCCTGAGAACAGCTGTGAGCTGGGACCCTTCAGTGAGTCCCATCCCAGAGTGAAAGCCACAGTCCTTACAGTGCCCCCAAGGCCGCTATTGCTTCTGCCCTAACCTCCTGCTTCCCTCCCCCTGACCCTGCTTGACCTCACCGTGCCCTCACCGCGCTCTCCACCTCAGGCCCTTTGTGTATTTGTCCCCTCCTCTGGAGTGCTCTTTCCCAGGCACCTTCATGCTTTTTCTCTCGCTTCCTTCAGATCTTGACTCAAATATCACCTCAATAACGTCTTCTCTGGCTACTTTTTCTAAAATTGTAGCCACCCACTCCTCTTCCTGTGTCACTTATTCATTTTCCTCAGCAGCGACCCCACTACCCAACACACTCTGCATGTCATTTCTGACCCAGTTTATTGTCTTCCTCCCCCATTAAAACATAAGGTCTATGAGGGTAGTCCATTTCACGGCTATATCCCCAGTGCCTGATGCCTAGTAGGGTTTTGAATGAATAAATCCGTGAACACCGTTACACTGCCTCAGTTTCTCAGTTCAAAGGCCCTAAGGGTGACATAGCAGAACTGGGTTGTTGAGGTCAGTTTGCAGGTTTTAGGGATTCTAGACCAGGATGGCTGTTGAGTTTGAATAATGTAGGTTTTATTTTTCTTCTTTTAAATATATTTTTAATTGATTTCAGAGAAGGAAGAGGGAGAGATAAAAACATCAATGATGTGAGAATCATTGATTGGCACACTCCCTACTGGGGATCCAGCCCACAACCCGGGCATGTGCCCTGACCAGGAATTGAACCAGTGACCTCTTGGTTCCTGGGTCAATGCTCAATTGGTGAGCTGCACCCCACTGGGCTAATGTTTTAAAAGACAGATGACATTCTGAGGTTAGTAAGCTTGCAGGCATCCATGTGAAGTAGTACTTTTTTATTATATCCAAATGTAAGACTAATTTGAAATATTGACGAACTGCACTTCTCTGCTAATGGTTGTACAGACTGGCCATAGTTCTTCATCCACTTTCTTCCTAAAATAGGCCCAAATCAGGTACAACAAGAAGCAACCTTCTGTTGGTCCCTGGTTGTTTTTTCTGGCCTTTTAATTCTGTAGATGGCTAAAAAAATTTCTGCATCCCTTTGAGTTAAAAAATTCATCAGAGCCCTGACCTGTTTGGCTCAGGTGGATAGAGCGTCAGCCTGAGGACTCAAGGGTCCCGAGTTCAATTCCGGTCAAGGGCATGTACCTTAGTTGCGGGCACATACCCAGTGGGGAGTGTGCAGGAGGCAGCTGATCGATGTTTCTCTCTCATCGATGTTTCTGACTCTCTATCCCTCTCCCTTCCTCTCTGCGAAAAAATCAAAATATTTTTTTTAAAAAATTCATCAGAAGATATTAATTCAATAAACATTGAGTCTGCCAGATTGCATGAGCCGAGCCAAGATTCGTATTCCCATTACAGCGGTCCCAAAGAGACATTACAGCGGTCTCTTTGAAGAATGATGACAAACAAAATGCTAGGTAATACTAAATTCTATGATGAAAATTGACTAGATTGGTATGATGGAAGGAACTAGAGAGTATTTAATGTTGAGTAATCAATGAGAAGGTCTTCTGAGAAGCTAACCTTTAACATTTGAGTGCCAAGTGAGGATTTGAGGTGTTTTATATTAGGCTGAGGGGCACGAAGAGGCCTAAAATTTCCATAATTTATAACCACAAAAGTTTTTTATCTTGCCTATGTGACAGTCCAAGGCAAGTGTTCCTGATTGATGGGCAGCTCTCCTCCACGTAGTGATTCAGGGAACCAGGCTCTTTACATCTTGTAAATCCGACATCCTCTTTGCTTCATCCTACCTGGTAGCTAGAAGAAGAAACAGCATGGAGAAGCCCAGCCTAGAAGTGGATCACATTATTTCTGTTCATGCCGTGCTGGGGAGAACTTGGTAGTAGAGTCTTGCCTACTGCTAAGGAGGCTGGGAAATGTAGTCCAGCACTGCCTGACTACAATGCCATCACTGTGGAGAGAGCAGATTTGGGTGAACAGCTAGAGGCCCTCTGCCATGCTGTGAAGACTATGCCAGCAAAGGCCCTCAGATGTGTGCACACTGGCGTGTTTGAGAAACAGAAGGTCGGTGGGGACTGGCACACACCAGCAGAAATTGGGACATGAGTCAGGGAGGGAGGCTGGATCAAATCAGCTATGGCCTTGGAGGCCAGAGAAAAGAGTATGGATGTCAGTCCAGATGCTATAACAGGAAGCTGTTGGAGGCTTTTAAGTCAGGAGGTTGGGTGATATCCCAATTTTCACCAACCCCATCTTGCTGACTGGACAGTAATGAGGAAGGGACTAATGTTCAACATTTTAAAATAAAATCACCTAGAGTCAGGCCCACGAGGCTCAGTGGTTGAGCGTCGACCTATGAACCAAGAGGTCAGGGTTTGATTCCAGGTCAGGGCACATGCTCAGGTTGCGGGCTCAATCCCCAGTGTGAGACCTGTAGGAAGCAGCTGATCAATGATTCTCTCTCATCATTGATGTTTCTGTCTCTTTTTCCCTCTCCCTTTCCCTCTCTGAAACCAATAAATATTAAAAAATAAATAAAATCACCTAGATTAAAGCTGCCTTGTTTTGGTTTACTCAGTCCTAGAGCTGTAGATTGCACTTGCAGAACCACTGCTGTTACGTACAACCAGCCCCTCCTACCTCCCTCTCTCAGATGGGAATCAGCTTCACAAGCCTGTTGGACAGTAAATATAGGGTGTCCCCCAAAAATGTATACACACATTTGAATAATTATAAAGGCAGTGTTTATGAAAATACATTTCAGCCCTAGCTGGTTTGGCTCAGTGGATAGAACATCAGCCTGCGAACTGAAGGGTCCGGGTTCGATTCTCGTCAAAGGCACATGCCTGGGTTGCAGGCTCGATCCCCAGTGGGGGGGCATGCAGGAGGCAGCCAATCAATGACTCTGTCATTGATGCTTCTAATCTCACTCCCTTCCTCTCTGAAATCAATAAAAAAAATTCTTAAAAAATACATTTCATTTTCAAAACTGGGCTTTCAGCTGTTACAGTGTGTATACATTTTGGGGGGACACCCTATATTTATTCCCCCCTTTGGGAACAAATATATTTGCCTTGAGTTGGGGGGAAAGAGAGGAATTAGTCCTTTAAACCATCCTGCACCTTTTTTTACAGTCCTGTCCAACGACCTTTTAAGGATGTGAGGATGAAGGTGCCAGAATTATTTTCTGTTTCCTCTCTGAGGCATAACACATCTTTGGGAAGAAGAGTAAAAGAGACGGTGGGGCCGAAACCGGTTTGGCTCAGTGGATAGAGTGTCGGCCTGCGGACTGAAAGGTCCCAGGTTCGATTCCGGTCAAGGGCATGTACCTGGGTTGCGGGCACATCCCCAGTAGGAGATGTGCAGGAGGCAGCTTATCGATGTTTCTAACTCTCTATCTCTCTCCCTTCCTCTCTGTAAAAAATCAATAAAATATATTAAAAAAAAAAAGAGACAGTGGGCCAGGGCTATGGTCTCTCTAGGATCTTGCCTTTCTTCCCAACTTCTTCCTTCATCGGATGGAGTTCAGCAGTCGGAGACTTAGGTGAGGACAAAATTAAATGAAGGAGGAGGAGGAGGAAGAGGAGAAGAGGAACAACAACGAAATCATTGTTCCTGTGTCACTGATTTGGAAACTAAGACAGTGATTTGCTCGAGGCCCTCGCATGAGTCAGTCGAAGCTTTTGATTCCGATGCCTCAGAGTCTCGTGCCCTTCACATGTGATCAGCCAAGGGTTGTGCAATAAATGACTGGGCTTCAATTTTGAGTGTAAATGACTCCCCATAACAGGATTGATGGGCGTCCTGGTTGTGGGTGTTTGTTTGCGTTTGAATTGCCTTGTTTTTGACAGGCAGGGATGGATTCCACATTTAAGTTCCAGGCATGGGACCTTTACCTGCACATGAACACCCACACGGGGCCCCCCTCCCCTTTCCTGCAAAAAGCCTTGTGAGATTAAGACTTACTTCTCCCACCCACTCTCATACCCATGCAAACCTTAGGGATTTGATAGGTCGTGAGACCGGATCCTCCTGCATGTTGTAAAAAGTTGATTGTGACCTTACCCAGTGTGCGACGATGAAAGCAATAGGGCAGAAATGCCATCACCTCACAGCACAGGGGTACAGCCACCACCGGTGGAAGCTGTCAAGTGCCCACGCAACATGGCAGGAAGGTGGCGCCCGGCAGAAGGCGCTGCCCAAAGAGGGCTTGCTGCTTCACAGTGGAATGACAAAGCCAGTTGGTTCCACTCTGGGTTAAATGGCTTCTCATGAGCTGGGGTTGCACCCAACAGGTTGGGGCGTGTAGGCACCCTAACGCGGGTGGAGTAGGAAGGGAGTGCACCACAGCTATGAGACTGGCCATTCAAGCCGGCTTTCCTCCTCCTCGCCACAAACACTTCAGACACCCGACTGTTTCTTTCCTCATTCAAAGTGATGTGTCCTCTGCTCTCCGCCTCTGCTCCACCTGTTCAGTAGCTGCAGCCTCCATCCCCACCTGTCATTCTGCCCCGGCCCACCTCCACGGAGGCGATCTCTTTTATTTTTTTAAACTAATGAGAAAATGCCCTGGGTTTAGAGATCTTACTTCCTTCCCTAAAGGCTTAGACCAAAGGGGTCACCTCCTAGAATAATATGAAGAAATGAAAAGGGATCTTGAGCTCAGAAAAGGATACAAATGGTTTCTGGGCTCCACCATTTGCTGTCTGGTTTTAGGCAAATGAGCCCATCCCCCCATGTCATCTGTACGGGAATGCTGGGAGGATCCATGAGACAAAGGCAAGGCACTTGGTTCAGTGTGTGGTACAAGTCAGCATCCAACACGTCATCATCGTTCCCATGAGCAGCTCTCTCTCGCCCTGGGTCGTGAGGTGGTGACAGAATGCGGCGAGCCCAGTTTCTCAAGTAGTTAGTTGTTCTCTTTCCTTTTCCTGACATACACTCGTCCCCTATTCAGTCACATCAAAACAAAACAAAATAAAACAACTACTACCATCTTGGGTGTCCCCTGGAGAAACTGAGGGGTGGGGAGGGATCTTGGGTGTGTATGGGGCAAGGCCCATCTAGGACAGGGATGGGGAATGTCTGAGGGTAGTAGGGTGTTTTGGAGGTGGGGAGGGGCAGCAAGGACCCGGGGCTGTATAAGGCCAGAGAAATCATTATGTTATAAATATCCAAATGGCCCTTGGCAGGAAAAAGGCTCCCCACCCATGACTAGAACAAGCTGTAGAATCAGTGTTTCAGGTAGGTGCCAGGGTGACTAAGTGTGGGAGGCGGCGGGAGGGGTGACCTCAGCAGAGAAGAGGAAAAACTGGGGAGCTGGAGTTGAGAAATGGGGTGTCTTAAGCATAAAAAGGGGAGTGGTCATTTTGCAATATATACATATCTTGAATCGTGTTGCATACCTGAAACATGTTATGTCAGCTATATCTAAATTTTTTGGAAGTGAAAAATAAGTATATATTGACATTTGAAAAAAGAATAAAAAGGAGAGACTAAAGGAATATATTTATTTGGGACCAAAGGAGTGAAGTGAGCCAGGTAGGAGAGTGGTGTGTGAGGGGGAGGGGAGTGGTGTGTGAGGGGGAGGGGAGCGGTGGGGGAGGGGGAGGGGAGCGGTGGGGGAGGGGTAGCAGTGCTGTGGGTTTCAGGCTGAGGGAGTTGGCGCCCTCAGGGAGTGTGACCCTAAAGCAGTGGGATGGTGAGAGGAGGAAGGGCGCTGGGGCTGCAGGTGGAGTAGAGGGTGTTTGGGGGTGAGGAGGGGCACCAAGGACCTGACATGGCCTGAACGTGTAGGGCTGAGCGTGAGGGTAAGGAACTGAGGACTGGAGGGCCAGGGTGGCCAGTGAGGGCCAGGGGGCTGGGGGCTGTGGGCAGGTCAAGGTGGGGGTGCTGGGGTCTCAAGGCTCCTCAGTGCCTGGGGCCTAGGTCTGTGCACTGGGGGGTCTAGAGGTCCCAGCATGGCAGCCGTCTCTGTGGCCCTGGCCAGTGAGTTCAGTGGTTAGAGCACCGGCCTGCGCTCTGAAGGGTTCAATTCCCAGTCAAGGGCAGGTACCTGGGCTGCAGGTGGCTCCCTGCCCCAGTCCCCCAGTTGGGGGCGCCTGCAGGAGGCCACCCTTGATGTGTCTCCCTGTGGGACTGATGTCTCCCTCCCTCCCTCCCACTCTTCCTAAAAATCAGCGGAAAAAATATCCTTGGCTGAGGATTAAAAAAAAACAATCAACCAATGAATGCATAAATAAGTGGAACAACAAATAGATGTTTCTCTTTCTCTAAAATCAATTAATCAATAAATAAAAATGTAAAAAAATAAATTATAAGAAAAGGAAGGGGAGAGTGTTGGGGAGGGGGGTCTGCGGGCTGAGTCTTCAGCTGACGGGGCGGATAATGTGAGTGTCTCGGGGTCCCCAGGGTCTCTGAGCTGATGGGAGTCTCCGGGTCCCGGGTCAGCGGACTGAGTAGGGTGTCGGGGTGTCGGGCCCCCGGGGTCAGCGGACTGAGTGGGGTGTCGGGTCCCCGGGTCAGTGGACTGAGTGGGGTGTCGGGGTGTCGGGGTGCCCGGGTCAGTGGAATGAGCGCTGATGGGAGCCTCCGGCCCCCGGGGTCAGTGGACTGAGTGGGAGTCGGGGTGTCGGGTCAGTCAGTTGACAGGGGGATGGTGGTGTCGGGGCACCAAACCAGCTAGGGGTCAAAGTTTTGGTTACACACTCTGCCCTTAGAAGGAATCAAACGGGCGCCTGCATTCCCGGGGGACACCCTATATTTACCCCCAACAGCCCCGGAGACATCTGTTCCTCCGAGACCCGCGGCCTCCTTCCCGCCGGCGCTCGGAGCCCGGGCCGCGGAGCGAGGCCCGGGA